GCCCGCCTAGCTTTTAGCGGAAGAGGTTCGCTCTCGCCCCGCAGACCAAAACAGTGTGTGTGTGTGTGTGTGCGTGTGTGTGTGTGTGCGTGGGGAGGGGGTCAGCGTTGGCGTCGGCTTCGCTGGAGCCGCCGTTGTCGTCGTGCACGGTCGTGGTGCTGCGTCTGAGCGTACTTGGGTTGCAGATTCGCTGTAGTAGCGTGGCTGCATCACGGATGCAGGCCGCCCAATCGAATTTCGCGATGTCGGCATCGTCGTGACATGCGTTGAGCGGTGCATGTCGTCCTGTGGGTAGTTCCTGAAGATGCTGGTAAGTCGAGACGAATTGCAGTCGCAGGGCCATGTTGTCGCGGCAATGCGTTGCGAATACCTGGAGGTCCCTGCCGGATCGTGTCAATGTGGCGTACGTGGGTGGTTTGAGCATCGGTTGGTGGGCGTCGGCTTGCATGGCATCTTTGAGCTCGATTGTTTGTATGTGTCGTTGGTGTAAGTATGAAGGCAGATCGTGGGGCAGCTCTGGAACCTGGTCGTAGTGGCGGGTGCGGTAGGCACTGTCTCAAGATGAGACAGTGCGCCGTAGTGCGTTGCATGTGGTGGTAGTGCGGAGTAGTGTGCCAACCTGGGTGCGCAGTGGTGGTGGTGGTGGTGCGGCGTAGTGTGCTGTATGTGTGGTGGGTGGGGGAGGTCATTGTGCTGGATGGTTGCGTGGCTTAGTGGAGCAAAAGTGTAAGAAGCATGTAGCGACTGCATATGTTGCCCTGGCCAGCGTCGAAGCCTCTCACCCAGGTGAGCCCGTGAGGGCTCCCATGCAGGGTATGGGGCTGCCTGTAAGACATCTCGCTCTTGTAATGAGCGCATGAAGATGGGAACTGTCGCAACTGAGCTACGTCCTTACTGCGCGGGCGAGCGCACTGTGGGGGGGCATCGTGCTGGCCGACCATATTATGTACGTGTATGCAGTTGATCTCGGAGGCGCGTACGCCAATTATGGTCACTGTATCTTTGTGGTCCCCATGTGGGTCCATTGCAATGTCCCCTGGGGCGCGTAAGCGAAGCTTGCTTATGTCGCCCAGCCTGGCGCGTGTGCGATACGCATGGCGATATCCGTATCACTGCGGGCATCGCACTGACCAATTATGTATGAGTGCGTGCACCTGTCCTAGGAGGCGTGCGATCACGACATGGTCCCTGTGTGCTATGGCCCCCTTGTAGGACAATCCGAATGTACTGATCCTAGGAGGCGCGTGGGCAACGTTGTGCTTCTGTTCCCTTGGGTAAGATCCTTAATGCGTGTATGAGATCGAATCTTGCGACCATTTGTAAGTGTAGCTGATTAGACCGTGGAGTGATGTATGCTCGTATATACTTGTCCTCGATCAGGTTGTGTGCCGTCTCAGTGGGCATCTGAGTGAGTGTGGTCGAGCCCATTGCGCTGCGTGATTGTTTGGTCGCGTGGGATATATGGTGTGCGCGGCGTTGTGGTGGCCATAGGGTTGTTGGGCCGCGTAGCCATGGCTGTCTGAACGCTTTGCAGACTGCCATGTGCTAACCTGTGGGCGTCGATAGGTATGGCTCGGGTATGGCTCGGCTCGAAATTGGCGGCGTTGGGAAGCGTGCTATGTTGTCGGCTATGCATGTAGTGATTGCGTGACAGAGTCGGGCTGGGAGTGTACAGCTACCCTTGAGTTCTGTTGTGTTGCTATGTTGGCATGGTGGGCAACCGCATCTGTTTCGGCTGTGTTTTGTTGAGTGCTTGGGCTAGTTGTGGGGATTGCAATGAGCGTATCTGTGTTGTGCTCTGTGTGTGATGGCCCATTGTGCACCAGTCGGCTGTATTGTGTTGAGTAAGGTTGTCGTACTCCAGATAACTGCGTCGTGCTCTGCATTGCTCAGTTTTGGTCATTACCGTGGCTGCTGTCTCGATGTGCTGAACTGCTGCTAAAAATCGAACTGTGTCAAGTAATCTGCGGTTGTGGTTGCGTGTCTTGAGTAGTTGTGAAGCCGGTCGTTTTTTGGCATCCCCAAAATGTGTTGTGGTAGGGGTGATATACGTTGTCAAATCCAACAGTGTCGTCGTTGAGTGCGATGAGTGCTGCCACTTCACCTTGTGTGATCTTGTTCATCCATGTATCCGTTTTGTATATATGTATATATTGTTCATCCATGTATCCGTTGTATGTTGGTGGGTTCGGTCGTGGCTTGTGATCTGGGTTGAGTCGGTGCTGATGCATGTGTAGTGTCGCGTGATTGGGTTGTTCTCAAAGTGTTGGTGTAACTCGTTGTCTTGCGTGGCGTGTTGATAGATCAGTAGATGTCCATGGAGCATGTGTTGTTGTCTTCAGAAGTGAGTTTCGCAGCCGGCTGGGTGCTGGTAATAGTGGTCGGTGGGGATAGGTGGTCTGGTAGTTGTATTTGCTGTCTCGTGTAATTTGTCGGTGTGGCAACTGCCAAAGAGGCCCCCGAGAAGCCCCCAAAGGCCCCCAAGAGGCCCACGGAGGCCCCCAAGATGCCTCCAAGAGGCCCACAGGAAGCTCCCAGGAGGCCGCAAAAAGTGCCCCCAGAGGCTCACAAGATGCCCCCCCCTGTTCCCCCTCCCGCTCCTCCTCCTCCTCCTCCTCCTCCTCCTCCTCCTCCTCCTCTTGACTTCCCAGCCATCCTCCCCAAAGTGTTCCCCAAAAGGTTTCAACAGCGGCTGGGGAAACACATGGTCCGATAGCTTGGCAGAGCTCTTGACACATGGGCGATTCCAAAAGGCAGGGGGCGGCAGTGATTCGCCGTAGGCGTCTTCGATAAGGCGGTAAGGATGCAAGGGCCCTGGAAGGCCATGCCGACACCTTTCGAGCGGGGCGCGAAAATGGCCAACGATGGGCCGAAAAGGAAAGATGCACCTCCTCTCGCGCCTCACCCGTAATTACCCTCGAACTGATCCCTGTCACGGAAATCGAGGACTACATGACATATATACTTACACTTTCGGACGCCCGCGCGGATTTCTTGGATCGGCGCTGGAGCCCCCTGGCGGCGCCTCCGGCGCCGCCCCTGGCGCGCTCCGCACGCCAGGGAGGGGGGTCCAACGCCGATCCAAGAAACCCGCGCGGAAGTCCGACAATTCATGCTTATGCCATGAATTGCTCCTCGGCGAAAGGCGATGACAGTCTCAGGGATGCGCCCGCAGAAGCTGAACGAACCTTACGATCGGCATCGAGATAAGGTGATGCCAATCACAAGGATAGGGGTGTGATTCGCCCTGCGCGAACTCCCCCAGCCTCCTGCCACTTCCCCGTGGCTTCGGCCCAAGAGCGGGGTGGGCGTCGCGACGTCGAGGGCGTGCTACTGAAGGGCACTCACCGCGACGTCGACGTCGAACAGGACTCGACTCGACCAATAACTCATCGAGGGCCCGATCATCCCACCCGACGCCGACCCCCAGCCTACAAGGCGAAAAAACTGCAATGAACATGAACTTTCGGAGGACCGCGGGGATTTCCTGGATCGGCGCTGGACTCCCCTCCCTGGCGCGCCGAGAACGCCAGGGGCGGTACCGGAGGCGCCGACACGGTTCCAGCGCAGCACCAAGATATCCGCGTGGACCTCCGACAGTTTGCTCTTTTGTGCAACAATCATCCCAAAAAAGATTATCCCACACGGATCTCCGGCCTCACAGGATCAACGCGGACCACCGCCTTGGGGGCACCCCCCCTCCCTCGATGGGCTGTCGGTTGCGATGGTCCATGTTTCTTTGCAGACCCACGTCGACTCCTCCACCTCTTCCTTCTCCTCCTCCTCCCCCTCCTCCCCCTCCCCCTCCTCCTCCTCCTCCTCCTCCTTCTCCTTCTCCTCCTCCTCCTCCTCCTCCTCCTCCTCCTCCTCCTCCTCCTCCTCCTCCTCCTCTCTTTGGGGGCTGCTGTGAGGGGCGGAGCTCGGCGAAGCCGACCGCATGCGAAGGCACAGGCGCGACAAAAACTCGCGCACCATCGCGCTCCCGAGGCAAACTTACTGAGGGAACGATAGGGGGCGCTGGCTCAGGATGAGGGAAACATTGAGCTGGAAACGGTGATACATCGCTGACCGATCGGTGATAGGCCCCCGATAGCGAAACCGCATGTGCCTGGGCGTGGTGAGCCATCGGGCCCCTATCGCAGATCAGTGGGCGACTGGGGGTCGATGCGTCCCCCCAAAGGGCTTTCCCTCCCCCGAGTTTCTTCTTCGCGACAATGCCTGCTACTGGCCCCTCGCCCCACGTCACGATTCGTGCCCGCGCCGTGTGGAATTTAGGCCAGTTTTAAGCATTTCCAGACGGCGCCGGCGCGATTCGTCTGGCGCGTGGGGTCAACGCATCCCCACCTGAGCCTATACCCCCCAACGTTGCCCGTGACTGACGGCCGACTGACAGCCCACCAACAGGCTGTCCAGAGAGGTCCGCCCAGAGCTGCACAGGACACAGATCCCTCCACGCTCTAGTCCATCCTTGCATAACTAATGCTAAAAAGAAGGGGCACCACCACCACCAGCGCGGGGAGCCAAGGAGGGATCTCGTGCTGGTGCGGTCCCCCTCGACGCTCGGGACATCCGAAAAAGCGATTCCTGCCGCTGCTGGGAAAAGAGGTGGCTCACCCCCTTCGGGAGAAGGGGGTTTGGGGGGGAGAGGTCCCCTGGCTTCTTACTCCACATTCGGAGTTTTTTTCAAAGGGGGGGGGGAGGCGCCCCCTGGTTCCTGACCTCCTTTAAAGAACATGTTCAGTCCAGCGACGGAGGATTGAAGGCGCCCTCAGACATCCCCAATCGTCCCTCTGGAGGTGGCACCCTCGGAGGGGGTGTCGCTATTTTCCTTCCGACCTTCAGCCGGTGGGTGGTCAGCCAGCCAAGACGATAACAAGGCATGAAAGCGGAGCAGCGCTGGAAGTAAGCGCCCGGGATGCGGCCCCGGGCCACCTGGCAAAGCGGGCGGCTGGCCAGTGCCACGCCTACCCGAATACGGGGCCAATTCCCGCGGATCCTACTCATCGCGCGTCCCTGGTCTGGGCGCCGGCACGGGCCCACCTTCGCGCCTCGGGGGCGAACGCAACGGGCGGCAGCGAAGCCCCGTGCACGGGCATCACCTCCCACTTCCGCCCGCAACATGTGCGACCTTTCTGAGTGGAGCTGTCAACGCCTGAGCTGGGATCTTGACGCGCCGACGACGAGGTAAGTGGCCAGCGGGCACAGAAAGATGCCACCCTGCTGAAATCAGGGCGTGTTAGGTTCTCGGGCACGGACCCGCGATCCCCCCCCCCCAGGCTTAGGTGGTATAGAGAGCTTTCTCTTCCCCCCTGTTCGCCCTTCGCGGAACGGCTTGCCCCGATCCCTTCCCCTACCCCACGTCACAAGACTCCCACCCTTGCCTGTAGACTGGATGTGGCTGGCAATCTCTCGCGTTCGTGCAACATAGAACCTGAACATGTTCATAGGGGGGTAGAGGAGGAGGAAGAGGAGAAGGAGGAGGAGAAGCAGGAGAAGCATGAGGAGGAGGCCATCTTGAGCGAAAGAGGAGGGGGAAGAAGAAGAGGCGGAGGAGGAGGACATGGATAATAAACAAGATGAGCGACAGCAACAGCAGCAGCAGCAGCAGCAGCAGCAGCAGCAGCAGTAGCAGCAATAGCAGCAGCATGGGCAGGATGAAGAGGATCAAGGAAGAGCTGCCGACTGTCATGTATGAAACAAGATGGACCGGAGCCCGAGGAACAGGAATAGGTGGCTTGATGACTCGGGTGACTTCTTGAGACTCCCTTGGAGCCCATTTTGGGATGGTCTTGTGATTGTTAGGTATTTTTAGGGCCTCTGGAATCCCCCTGGGGCTGTTTTGGAGTCTGTTGAGCGCCAAATGCGATTGGCATGGTTGGTATCGGTTTTGAGGTTTGCCTGGGCCCGTCTTGGAGCTCTGTTTTGCGATCGTGGGACCACCCTGAGGTCTTGAGAGTCCATCGGAAGAAACACAAGCACGTCAAAGCGTTTGAATGTGTGTTGGCCTCTCAGGGCCATCCGTGTGGGAGGCTCCTCGGCCACCTGAGGTGGGCCAGCGGCCTCTTGGAGGCAAGGTGGAGGCCATCTTGGACCATCGCGTGCCATCACGGTGGCTGTCTTGGAGGCCGCCTCGCCCTGCCAGGGCCAAGGACGGGGGCATGACGCGCCGTTGCCCCGCAGAAGCCCTCCCCGTAGTCCCAGCTTCTGCGGATCGCAAAATCTCAAAGGCCCAGCTTTCGTCCCTAAAGTAGCAGGCCTGCATGAAACCCAAATCCCAAACACTGTGTTTGGCTGCCTTTTCTCTGAAACCGAAGACCATGCGGTGACGGACCGCGTGGTGACCTCGGAATCCCCAACGACCTCGCCGCGTGGTCCGTCACCGCATGGCTTTGGGATCGCGACGGCCCCAATCGCCCGAGAAATCATCGGAAACGACCCGAGTCAAGATGGCGCAGACTGGTTCAAGGTAGCTCCAGATGGACTCCAGCATGCATGCAGGAGGCAAGAGGACTGCCCCGAGAGGTCTCCCAATTGTATTGGAGCCATCACGGTCGCCCCCAACAAGCTTTGACCAAACAGAAACACACGTTGTTCACAGATGGTTGCTGTCTCGACTTTGAGCTTCAGATGGGCGTATGAGACCTCAAAATGACCTTTCGCCAATGAGAGCCCAAAACAAACCCACAAGGGGCCCAAGACTGCCCGGAAGGCCCGCAAGAGCGTCCCAAGAGAAATCCCACCAGCTCTCAGGACGTAGGTGGTTAAACGGACTCTCGGCTTCTTTCTTCCAACAACTCTTTCTCACCCTTCTCGCGGGAGGTGTCTATCACTGCTTCCTATGTATATACACCCCCTCCCCCCAGGCGACCGGCAGCCAACCAGGAAGCATGCTCATCCCACCATACCATCCCTTTTTACAAAAAGTATCCCAGTGTGACCCTACCTAGGAGTTGGAGCCTCTAGGAAAGAAACATTGATAGGAGCGGTAAACGCCGTCCTCCTCCTTCTCCTCATCGTCGCAGTTGTACGAGTAGCGGTAGTAGTAGTAGCAGTAATAGTAGTAGCGCCAGAACCGCCGACGCCACGCCGTAAGTGAAGCAGCAGCAGAAGCAGGCAGCAAGTCGCCGAGACAGCAGCAAAAGCAAGCAGGCACGGAGATGAGGGCGGGGCACTGGGGAGTTCTTTACATCTACATCTATATCTACACCTACACCTACATCGACACCAGCATCTACATCTAGACCTACATCTACATCTACACCTACAGCTACATCAACATCTACACCTGCATCTACATCTACATATACATCATCAGAGAGACTCACATCTACATCTACATCTACACCTACATCTACACCAACATCTACATCTACATCTACACACAGATCCACATCTACACCTACACCTATACCTACATCTACATCTACATCTACACTTTCGCATTGGTTTTGCTTTTGCTTTGCAGTGCCTTTGCTTTTGCTCTTGCGTTTGCTTTTGCCTTTGCCTTTGCTGTTGCTGTTTATGTTGCTTGTGCTTTGCTGTTGTGTTTGTTTTTGCTTGGTTTTGGTGTTGCTTTGCTTGCGCACAGACACACACAATGAGTACATACATCTATAGCAGCAGCAATAGTGGATGCTGTGCTTCGCTATGCTATGCTATGCTCTGATCTGCTATGCTATGCTATGCTATGCTATGCTATGCTGCGCAATGCTATGCTGGGCTAGGCTAGGCTATGCTATGCTGCGGTATGCCATGCTGCGCTATGCTATGCTATGCTATGCTATTTCTTTACCTTCGCTTTTGCCTTTACTTCCGCCTTTGTTTTTGCTTTTGCTTGGCACCCAGGGAGCGCAACTGGGGGAACCGCGCGTTTGCTTTTACCTTTGCGGTTGCTCTTGCTTGGCTCACAAGGGACCGGGGGAACCGCCCGGGGCGATTTACACTGCCCGGCCCCTTTAAGCCAAGCGAGTAAGAACCCTTGAAGGCAGAGCCTAGGTAGGGAACAATACAAAACGCACTCTGCCTCAAAAGTTGGAGTATGCGCAACCATCTCAACGCGGGCTCCCCCCGCCATCCCTGTTAAAAACAATGCAAAATAAACTTTGGGTCAAAGTCTGGAGTCATGGTCGTGAGGCCCGCGAGCACTTGGTATTGTTTTTGACAGGGACGGCGGGGGTGGTGGCGTATATGGCATGCTGTGCGCAGGTCCACCAGACAAAGTGCTAGGCATTGGTTTTCGACAAAGACGGTGGGGGCCGACATGTGCTGTCACGTGCGCAGGCGCACAAGACACACTCTGCACCTGTCCCGAACATGGCGCACCTGGCGGCTGGAGGCTGGAGTATGCGGCACATCTGGCGCACGCGGGGGCGGGTGGCACATCTGTGGCGCGCGTGGCACGCGTGGCGCACCTGGCACGCCTGGCGCACCTAGCCCCAGCGTCGCGCACATGGGCTGGGTTTTGGTTTCCTGTAGCTGCCCATCGAAAGACGACCGCGGAACAAGCAGAGGCTCGTGTGTTGCCTATGTTGGGCAGGCGGGTGGGAGTGAGCTAGACGGCTTGCTATCTGGAGGGTGTCTTGACCCCTCCCCCTATCTCCTACCCTGTGTTTGGACGGGGCGCCCTGCGAGATGTCAGAGGGTGCTTTTCGGTACGAAAGGGCTAAGAGGGCCTCGGAAAGACTATGATGGCCTCCAAGATGGCCCAAGACGGCTCCATGATGGGCTTTTCGAGTCCTCCAAGGACCTCCCCAAGAAGCCAACATGGCCCCCAAACCTAAAGAAAATGAATGTTGTTTGCGTTCTCGCCTTTTCGCTCCCAATGGGCCTGGGGAGCTTCAAAAGGGCTTCAAGATGGCCCGACAGAATCCCCAGAGGGAACCAAGAGGGCCCCAACTAGGCCCAAACGTGCTCAAAAAGCGGCCCAAAAGGGCTGCACGGCGCCATGTTTGAGCCTTCGAGGGGGGGAACTGAATTCGTTACTCCGCCCCCCCCTCTGTGTCAGCCATGGGGGCCAAAATGACCCCAAGATGCCTCCGAGACTCTCATTTTACAGGGACCCTGCAAAGACCCTACGAAGACGGGGTCCCTCTTGTGCTGGTGAGGGAGCCTCACCATGCCCTTTTCTTCCTGTTCGTCCCCCTGCTCCTCCTCCTCCTTCTCCTCCTCCTCCTCCCCCCCCCGCCTGCTCATCAGGCTTCTCCAGCTCCATCATAACCTCCCCCTCCTCTCCTCATATTCCTCCGTTTCCTCTGTTTCTCTACTATACTCCCAAGATGAATGCGTTAGGGGGCCCCGCGGGCTGCCCGCAACCGAAGATCCGATTGCATGCCCTGCTGGCACGGTCAGCATGGACGGCATGCCAACGCAGTCCCACCTATCCGCCACGGCGTGGAAACAATTGTTCCATGACTCAACTATGTGTTCGATCTATCGTGCGTGCTCATATACGGTTTTTAATATGCCAACATGCCTGGATGTCAGTCTTGCGTTTCTCATCATCCTCGTCCTCGTCCTCGTCCTCGTCCTCGTCCTCCTCCTCCTCGTCATCCTCCCATATGTGTTCCACCTCCTCCTGCTGCGAAAGATAGCCCCCCCGCCCCGAGAAAATCGCAAGATAACACCACGAACGCCGCCAGGGGACCCCCACTAAAACAGCGCAGCCAGGGAACATTTCTTATGCGATCAACAAATGTTCCCACCGTTTCCGCGCCTCTGATACGCTTCCACGGCGGTCCGTTCCACTGCCTGCTTCAACACTGCCCTGATTCGAGCACCTCGCCTGGCGATAAATTCTGGATGGGTTGGTGGGGATATTTTTTGGCCGGCGGCCGCGCGACAACGGTCTGGCGGCAACAGGCGATGTCCGGGACGGCGGTGCAAAGCTAATTGCACACGATGCGTGCGGTGCACGCGCGCTGAGCAAAATGCTTCAAATTCACAAGCAGACGCACCTAGGCGCCGCCCAAACCAAAGTGAACAAGCGGCCACGAGTGCGTATGCAACGGAGTGAATCGCCCTTGCGGCGCCAGGCTCCGAGCAGCTTCCC